TTTGGCTACATTAGAAGATGCGTGAGCGGGTAGTTATGCCTTGCTCTCTATACCAGCGCCGAGAGTAGGGATATTGTCCATTCCGGGTGACACGGGTAAGGTCGTGGCGGGGCGGGGCGGGGCGGGCGTCAGGCGGGTCGGGATGAAACAGGGGTGTGGGGTGTGGGGGCGGCAGTGCGGCGGCAGCGACAGCTGGAGAGGGTGTGGGCGGCGTAGCAGCGAGGGGAACTCTCCACCCTCTAGGGTGTGGGCGTATGGGCGTGCGGGAGTATGGGCGTGTGGGCGTGAAGGAGCGTGAAAGAGCGTGAAAGAGCGTGAAAGAGCAAAGAGTGTCAAAGAGTGTCAAAGAGCGTCGCCTGCTTGCCGAGCTCGAGCGCGTGGTACCTAGGCGAGAGCCGCGGGAGGTCAGAGAGCAGAACGGCTGGCCGCCCGTCGTCGGCTCGAGTGTGGGTACGGCGGAAGGTGCGCGACGGCGTACGCAGAGGGCCTGCTCACAGGAACTAGAGGTGTGAAGAGACGTTGCTCACAGTGCTCGGCAGGGAGCAGCTGCGAAAACGCCGAGGCACAAAGACGACGGACGGATCGCGCAGCAGCGTGCCGCGCGAGATTGGATGCACGGCGACGACGCCGAACCCGTCTAAATCGGCCACGCCGTCTGACTGCACGGCCACACTATCCAACAGCGCCTGCACTCCGCGGATCCGGTCGTCGCGGTCGCCGCCGGCGTCGCAGTCGGCGTCGATGCCCGCAACCGGCAGCCTCACTCTACCGGGCGCAAAGGCGTGCGGTGCGGGCGCCACGTAGTCGGCGGCAGCGGCGATGCAGCCGCGACATCCGAGAACATTCCAGCGACACTTGCCACAGCCATGTGCCAGCGGGCTCCGAGTGCCCCAGTTGGCCGTGCCCGGCCGCCACCTGCTCCCGCCCGGCCAGATGACGGCTGCTGGCGTGGTGGGCGGCTTGGCGGAGGCCGGATCGGCCGAAACAGGCCGGCTGTGATGCGCTTGCTTCCGCGCCTTTGCGGCCGCAGCCTCCTCGGCACGGGCTGTCGGCTGGCGTACTCGCTTGGATCGTTCCATACGTGCCACACCTCTGCAGCTCTAGAGCGCCAAGCAGCTGGCGCCAAGCGTCAAGCAGCAGTGCCAGCGAGCCGTCTTATTACCGAGGGTGCCTAACCATGAATACAAGGCGATTTGAAGATTTGTTTTATCGTTTTTCACTGCGCCCTTCGCTGTTCATTTGCGAGAGATTCTCCCGCCATTCTCTCGCCATTCTTCCTCCGTTCAGGCGTAATTCATCCGCTTTTCAAATACATTTTGTGGCGCTTTCAAGAGATTTTTTATCGCACATTTAGTGCTCTTCATGGCAGTTTAAGGCAAGCGTGCCTTATCCTGGCTGGGTCCGGCGTGGTCGGGAGCCCTCGACTCCTCGGCGAGCTCTTTCCTGCCTCAATGACATTGCAACAATGAACGCGTCTTACTTAGCCCTTAGCTGTCTAGAGCACGTCTTGCTACTATGCACCACAACAAAACGGGATCGTGAATTCTCTTCCGCGGTTCGTGCCCATACGGTTTCGCGCGCATGCAACGGGTGAATTCTTCTTCCGCGTTTCGTGGCCATAGGCTCGCGGGGCGAGGAGACACATGGCCGGGAATGAGCCCTTGCTCATCGCGTGCAGGCAGGGTCCCACCGTCTCGGTGAACCTGCAGGTGCCAGTCGGCACCAAGCTCCAAGGCGAGCGGCGGCCTGCAACAGCTGCTGGCCGCGGCCAATGGCGTTGACGTCTCGAATGAAGTCACGATCAAGGTGTGGAAGCCAGATCATGGTCCTTATCCTAGCCCGCGACACTACTCACTGGGCGGTGCGGGTGCTTAGCAGCAGCAGTCAGTGTTCCTGCCCACCTGCCCATAAATTGGCTTGAAGGGGCTTGAATTTAGCGTCGGTGCGGTAACTTCAAGGCAAACCGTGTCGCCAAACATGTTTGTGAAACGCGGTTAAACGTTGTGTAAATGTGTCTTGAATGGCGGCTGAAAGGCGGGGGAAGAGCGGGTGAAGGGCGGGCGAAAGGAGGGAAAATGACGGCTGAATCGCTCACGAATCAACGTAAGAAGACATTCGAATAAGCGGTAAGATCGGCGCTAAACAGGCGATAAACGCGTTTTAAATTTATTTCTAGGGCGGTAAATTCACGCCTAGGCATCCCTCTATTACCAGGTTGCAACCCTTGTTCCGCACTGTGCTGTGAATCGAGCGGCAACCAACAGCTCTCAGGACCCCCCGGTGCTGGGGTGCTGCCAGCAACCAACCAACTCACCGGCGAGCGGAGCGAGCCGAAGAGCGGGCCAAATTGGCGCTGTGAACGCACCTCTACGTGGCGGGCCGCGCAGGCCCGGCAGCAGGGCACCCCCGCGCGGATGCCGACGAGGATCACGGTGCGCTACCCGAACGAAGGTGGACTGCTGACAGGGTTTGCGGTGTCAGTTAGTGTATGTAAAAAATTCTTAGAAATTTGCCCAGGCGTTCGACACATGGGGACGATCTTGCTCGGCTTCTCCGGCGTCGAGCCGTCCTCCTCGGCGCTGGAGATGCCCCAGTCGCCGGTGTTGGTCAAGCACGGGCAGCAGCCGCCCGCGCAGATCTGGCCGCTACCAACCCACTTCTTGTCGTTCTCGGAGCCCTCCACGTCTTGCAGCTCGAAGGGGGAGACGAAGGCGAGCGGGCCGTAGCCGCAGCCGTTAAAGCACGGGATGGGCGACATCTTGAAGCAGCCGCCGAAAGTCGCGTCAACACCGAGGCCTCCCGTCCCCTCGTCGTTGTAGGTGATGACGAAGGGAGGCGGGATGCAGAGGTAGGTGCCGTACGTCAAAAAATAAGTCATGGAGTGGACGCAGCACCTACGTGGAACGGCGCCGGAGTAGCGATGGCGCGCCAGGCTGCGGCGCACGAGCGCGGCACACCCGTGGATTCCGTCGCAGGGGAGGGCTTGGAGACGCGGGCGCTTTCGTTTTTTTTTGCGATTGCACGGAGTCCGGCGAAGTTGTGAACGGCGTCCTGTCCCCTAAAAACAAAGAGAAATAAAACGTATGGCAGCTGCATGGGCGGAGGCGGTGAGTTTCGCGGCGGCTACGACGGCGGCGGCTTGGGTGGCGGTAGAGGTCAGCGCCGATCAGCCAACGGTCAGCGCCGATCAGCCAACGCACGCACCGGGGCCCGCGCTTCTTCCTCTGTCGCCGCCGGCGTCACCTAGGACGGCACCCTTGCTGCCGCCGCCACCACTACGTAGTACGCCGCCGCCACTGCCCCCGCCACGTCCGCCACCTCCGCCGCCAGCGCCACTTTCGCCGCCTCCGCCACCTCCGCAGCTGCCGCCACCTTCGCCCTCGACTCCTCCCTCGCCACTACCGCCACCCTCGCGTCCGCCGCCTTACACCGACGCGCTGCCGCCTTTGCCACCGCCGGAGCCGTCTCCGCCGCCGCCGCCGCCACTCCCTTCGCCGACCTCGCCGCCACCACCCCGCTCGCCGCCGCCACCCCCCTCGCCGCCACCACAACCTCCGCGAGCCTCGGCATACGCACCCATGGTGCCATCTTTCCCCACCTTTCCTGTCGGCGCTGCTGCCGCACGAGGTTTGCGCGAGCGGGTGCAGAGCTCGCCTCAACAAGGCCTGTGGATCGATGAACATAGGCATCGGATACTGCCGCGAGGCGGGCGAGGCCGACGACACGTGAGAGACACTCCGTCGGCCTGCACGGCGCCTCCACTCCGCTCACAGGTTGAGACGCGACCCCTCGCACGCAGGTTCGAGTCGTGGGCAGACTGCTCTTCTGCGGCCGCGTGCGCGACCACGTGTTACGAGAACGGCCCGTCAGTCACACCGTCTTAGATACATCCCAGCACGGCTCACCTGTCTTTAGACGTGGCGTCGCGAGGGTCGGCCCCCCCTCGCCCCACCACACCTTGTGAGAGAGAGAGATCTCTGAGATCTCTTCACCTTTGTGTGCGTGGAGAAGTGTACCTCACCGTGTACCTGGTAGGCGCGTTCGCCTCCCAGGGCGAGCCGGCATGCGTGGCCGTGGCGTGGGCGGAGGCACCAAAGACGGCGCACGACGGCTGCAAGGAGGCGGGCCGCCCTCGCTGCGTGCGCTACTGGACGCGCTCGGGCCAGCGCGTCTCGGGGACCGCTGCCGTGGTGGCCGAGCAATAAAGCCTATCTATTCCATATCGTGCAGGGCGTGCCTTCACACCCCCTGGCTTGTACACAGGCGTCCGAGTACCACTGCACCGCCATCCACCGCCCCGACTCCTCGCCTTCTGCGCCACCGTCTCCCGTGCCGCCCCCTCGCCCGCTCCCGCTGCCGCCTCCGCCACCGCCGCCGCCGCCTTACGTGCTCCTGTCGGCCGTGTCGGTGGCGTGGCGCCGGCCTCGCGTCCCCCAAGCTCGTGAACAGCGTCTCACGGGAAGAGCTGTGAGCACAGGTCCTGTGGCTCGTGCTTGAGGCGACGCGCTGGCGCCTCGGCAGCCTCGGCGCATCTCGGCTCGTCTCGGACGAACCCGTGCTGTGTGCGTTTTGGTGGTAGGGAACGCGCGTGTACGAGCAGGAGGCGGAGGAGGAGGAGGAGGCGGAGGAGGAGGAGGCGGTGGTTCGAGCCCTCCTGTGAACAGCAGCCAAACAGAAAAAACGGTTCGTCCGGGCGAAGAGCTGCGACTAAAACCTGAGAGCCGGAGCTGCTCTGTACCTGACGCGTCTCTCGCCCCGGGCGCTCCACCCGAAAGAAATGTCAAAGTCATGCCGAAAAAGAAAGTGGCAACAAAAAAAACTCCCCCTATCTCGGCTTCAGAGCGAGTACGGAGTACCTGCTCCGTGCGCGGCTGGCACAGGCCACAGCCCACTGAGGTGGTGGTGCGTGCTCGGGGCTCCGCGTGTCACACTGCGCTCAAACTGGTCACCGCAAGTGGACAGTCGTAAGGTGATCTCTCGCAGCGGGTTCGTATGCACATATGTTGTGTAC